TTAAATAATAAATGAACTAGGTGAAAAGATAGGTTCTTGATTGATGAAGAAACCTTAGAGCGACTCATCAGTTATAGTAACGCTGAAACGCACTACAGGTAGCCCATCGACGCGTGTCGTCGTGAAGTCTAAACGTGGCATTATGGTTGCAAGAACAGTTACGATTTCCCAGCAGCCCAAGTCAACAGCTGCCTTAGCTGAGTCTCTTAGTGATATCGCTCTAAGAAGCGTTCAGTTTCGGCAGATAACAAGCGTTTAGTTTTGGCAAAGTGCATCAAAGTAGAATTAACGTTCATAGAAAGTTGCCCCGATAAATGAAGGTGGACAAACGTTGACAAAATCCGACCAAAATCAGCACGCAGGTAGGGAGGACGCACTCCTCTTCTGAAAAAAAAGAAGTTCAATTCGCTTAGCCTCGTTGGCGATCAAATGAAGTTGAATATCTAATAGTATAAGTCTGTGTAATAAAGTAGTAATGATGAATAAAAACTGGGCTAGATAAGCGGTATGAATATAATGCAAGGCGTTATCTGTGAACAACTAATGGCGCGGCTGTACCTGTGTAGGACAGTAAAAAATCAGCAACATTCGCAAAAATGAGTGTTTCCTTACTTGACGAATGTACACTCTCACTCATCGAGAGCTAAAAGCCGAAATTCAGGACAGGAACGAGTAATTCCAGACCATTAAACGGCTACCTTACACTTTTATCTCTTTTGCATTGTTCTCAACTAAAAAACCTGAATCGATTAGGAAGAATGTGCGGAATGAATCCGAATGTTTCACTCATCTCATTTAATACAAACAAGCAAGTAGCAGTTGCATTCATTATGAAAATTTCTGTGGCTCCGTCTTGGTTGATCGTTCTGCGGCTTTTGTCGCTGCCGTCGTAGGAGGTAATAGTAGAATTTGTAGTAACGACACTGTGTTCAGGGAGACCAATCAGTTGACTGTGACTCCTCAAAATTAAGACATTGTCGAACAAAATCACGTGGAGTGGTCCATCTTCAGAATTCCATACTTAAATTACGATGTGACAACACTTTTCTATATAGCAGTGCTTTCATACAATACGACAAGAATGGTCAAAGTGGGCATAGAGAACAACACTTGTTCGAGGCGCCTAGTAAACAGAACACGTTCAGGGGAGGTGGAAATGTGTCCTTTTTGTTAGATATTCCATGAAGGACTATGATGAATATAGGAACATTTGGTTGCTGCAGAAATTTCAATCCAAGCACGGATCAGTAATAAGAACCAGCAAACAAACAAAGCAAAAATATCATTACAACAACAGCACTTCTTTTTAGAAGATCTCAATCCCGATCTCTTGCTTCTGGTGGCTTTCGATTTGCACAAGACGAGTACTTCAGTACTATCAGATGTTAGAAAGTAGCGCCACCCAGGGTTTACGTGCCATTCCATCACTTTCTTCTCGGCCACACCATGATTCATCGGCACTATGGAATTTCAAAGAATGATGCGCATAATTTTGGGTAGGTACTCCACTCAAGAAACCGGCCTAATTACATAATCACACTGTTTACAAATACAGGGGATTAGATTATGCCAGAAGTTAGAAATGATATCTTCCGACTAAGCAATCAGAGAGAAAATAGTGACATACAAAATGATAAAATGAATGATAAAAGCACATAAATTGTGAAGAGTACTCATAAATGAAAGCCCAAAAATAAAATTATGCTTATTGTTCATGCAGAAAGCGTTTGCAAAGTGCTCGAAGCCAAGGAACCGAGAACATTTTCTCAGTTCTGGAGCGGACAACCACACCACGTATTGAAGCTTCTACGGCTCTCAGAGGGATACTGGACATTTCAAATAAAACCATCCATTTCTGACTCGACGGCGAAAGCTTTCCCCCCAAAATCGTCGATGGTGAATATGGGCTTTTTCATCGGCATTGTCGACATAATTTCCTGCAAAAATTACAGGTATCTTGCAGCTGCAGGCAAAGAAAGGTGAAATTGAATAGCACAACAAACCCACTTTCACAGTCTTTCTGTTATCATGGTCAGGCCCGATTTCGAAACTGAAGGTACGAAAGGCTTCTACCTGCTCAGTGCATCGAGTAAATCTGAACACCAGGAGTTAAAAAAACATCATTTCGGAAAGCATGTTCAAAGGTGTTCGGTCAGTCCCTGGAATTTTAAACTATATACCACTCGTCTACTTTTTTTAAGCGTTTTGAGGGCTCGTGCAAGAATACCACCGCTCGCAGAACATGTGACATGTAACCCAACTTTGAAATAAGTAATGTGCAGTGCATGAATAGCCAGAGTTACTTCTATTCAATCATTCCAAGAGAATGGGGTATTTCATACGAATTAGTAAGTTCGTAGGATGTTTCAATGTACGATTACGCAAACTTTTTGCTGCTTATTGGTGTGTTGATCGTTGCACTAGTTTCTTCTCCTTCATGGAAACAGTCTATAGAACCAAAAATGAGGCCTACCTTAATCGCCTTCCAGGAGGAATGTATATAATGTCGCCACGTGTAACATTACGAGAGTCCAGCGTCTTGAGACACTCAGATGATTGTGTCTAAAGAAGCTTTCTGACCTAGTCGGATTCACATTTATGTAAACCGGGCAACAATACCTTCGCTGAACTGCCACTTGGTCCATCGACTTCCTCTAGAGCTGCTGATCCTTCAACAAGTACCATAATGGAGGCGCAGTCGAGAACAGGAAGGAAAGATTGGGAAACATATGGGGACACCTGGAACATGAAACTACTGTACTATACCGGAGCCTTAAAGACACATGGTACGCTCAAACACATTGAGGGTGTATGAGACTATCAGCCCCCAGCTGTCGATGTGTCGTGGTCCCCCGCCCAAAACTGCACGGGGTCAGAGTACGGGGCCGTGGGAAAGTCGTAATTCCTTGCTACACCGCCCTCACGTTTATGCTAACACCATCCGCGCGGCGCGGTCGCGTGCAGCTCTCTTGGCTTTTTGCCAAGTCCTGTAATTGCGCTTTGGAATACAAGTACAACGCAATTTCTTTATGCGGATAACATTTTAGGTTCTGCAAAATAAGAACTGAAGATGATGACGAGGGTCAGAACTTAAAAGCAATTGTGCCACTTCTGCAATATCCTCAGAAGCGCCGCATCCCACAGAACACCAATAATAAAAACAATAAAAAACGAACATGACAATAAAAACGGACAACATGACAATAAAACATGACAATACAAGCAAAACGCAATTTCCTAACATTTGAGGTATTGCTCATGCTTCAAAGTCCGAATAGAAGGTGATGAAGATGACAAAGGCTAGAAATGAAGAACAACGAATGTAGATGTAAATAAAACAAAATTGAAAAAACTAAGGAAACGCAAATTAATTAAAATCGCGTGTGCATTTCTGCGATCCGGCTCGAATCCGGCTCTAAAGCTATAGAAATACTTCAAACTAACGAGTGGGACGCTTAGGCCGTTTACTTATTTGTCATGTTCTGTGGGAATGGGCTCGGGATATTGCAGAAGCAGCACAGTTGCTCTTGAGTTCTAGCCCTCGTCATCATCTTCAGTTCTTATTTTGCAGCACCTAAAATGTTATCCGCATAAGAAATTGCGCCGCACCGCACGGACGGTGTTAGTAAAAACGTGAGTTTGCGAAACGGGCGGTGTAGCAAGGAATTACGACTTTCCCACGGCCCCGTACTCTGACCCGTGCAGTTTTGGGCGGGGGACCACGACACATCGACAGCTGGGGGGCTGATAGTCTCATACACCCTCAATGTGTTTGAGCGTACCATGTGTCTTTAAGAACTGTCACGTATCTCAATTCCGAAATTTATTGGCGCCCAAACGTGCTCGAAGAAGTTGTGAAGAAAACCATTCATGATTGTGACTAACCCGAATCCTGTGCAGTTGGAAGTCTTTGCAATCTGGTGAATATTCATCAACCCCCGGATAGTCGACGAGAGGGATGGCTGGTACAAGATAATCTTCTGGTGGAGTCATACGATAGTTGAGAACCTGTCAGCATTTTTTCATAGTAAGCAGTAAAGCATCATAATCTAAATGAGAACTCACTTCGCATAGTGCATCTCTGTCAATGAACTTGGGAGTCATAGCGGCTCGAATTGTGTTGTTCGAACAGCCAACACATTCTACGCACTCTGAAATATTCATCGAAATATTCTATTCAAATGCAGACATTCTGGCCCTCCCAACGGGTGTCACGTTCTCGATGTTCAAACATTTAATATTATCGCTATGAAAAAAAGCGGCGCCGAGTGGAACTCTGCAGTGCTCTGTCTCCTCGCAATCAAATGACATGCGAAATGTCACCGCTCATTTGGTAGCGAGGAATGTCACCATCCCAGAGAGTGCACCAGTCTCACCACTGCGAAAGCTCCAGAACCACATGAAATGCATGCAGTACAGCCTTGTCCGACAACGATTTACACCATTATTTACAGCACGTTTGTCTGCAGCGTTGTAGGGTGATATCATGTGCTACACGTTTGAGTATATATAGAGTCTTTCCACGCCCGAAATAAAGAAGTTATATTGAGACTGGGATGCTTGCCGGACCGGTACAGCCTACACCTAGCGGTATCTCACTGGGTTGAAAATGGGATGGCAAACGAGGAAGCAGTGACGTGGTTGTCACATTCCAGCAATCCTCTGTTGACAACCTGTTCGTTTGGATGTCCCGTAGAAACATTATACCTCATTGCTTTATTTTGTGCTTGCTTTATCCAGCTCGAGGTCATATGAAAATACACGTAATTTGTCGCGAACGAGAAGCGTTTAGAAAATCCGATTTGTACGGTAGGACAAAAGGGAAAAAGTTTGACTCAGGTCAATGATATTACTATTAACAGTTCTACAGAGCTTCATTATAATGTAAGTCCTACTTTGTGATTGTGAGATTCTAAGTCGTCTTTCTAAGTCGTTTTTTCAAAATTGAGACTGTTCGCTGTCTAGAACATCTGGGTGTTTTTCGCACTTCGACCAACATGAGCCCTTGGCTATTTTTCGTAGAAGGTGGCATTAGGCTGAAAAAAGAGCAATGATACATTCGCGACTATATGGTTTCGATCGTCAGGTTTTTTTTAGCCTATTTTAATATGATCTGAGCATGTGAGTACTTAACGTAGTGGGAGGAAACAAACTACAAAACTGCATTGCGCACTTACTAAAAGAATGAAAATGTTTTCTGAAGTGCATTTGCGGTTCTGCTATCTGAACATCGCTACCACCATGTTATACTGTTCTGCCCACTGCCTCTTCCCTAGTAAAGTGTACAAGTATGCAGCAGCGGTTTTCTGAGAAAAACGCTACCTTGTGAATGACTTCCATAGTTAAAAGAGAGTGGACTGAATCATATCTCTCCGAGATGTGTGTGATCTGGTCTTCCCAGTCACAATGAATTTGGCTTGGCTGCAAAGACATGTGGAGGAAGAGAGTAAACTGATTTCCTCGTCATCTGTCAAGCAGTCTTGGAATTTTCTACACTATCATCCTTCATGGTTTGCAGTCAATTGGCAAGGTCCAAAAGGTTGGCTAGTGGTAGCTACGCGTAGGAAGCACACGAAGGATGCCGGGGAGATATGGCGCTCACGTTTTTCACTTTCGAACTAGGCATGGTGCTCGCACAATGTAATGCGGATGGAGAAGTGAATATCTACCCGAGCGCACGAATTGCTAAGTGGGGTATTGAAAAAGGAAAGTCAGAAGACGTGCCAAAACCCACCATTCACCCGCCATTCACGGAAAAAAATCACACATTGCAAAGAGTGAACTAACCGACGTAGGATGGATGGTCGTCACACACGGCCACCTGCATTCTCCCAACCTGCGCCATCCATAGTTGTTCGAAGTAGAATATTGGCGCGACTATACTAGATTTTTTGATCTTAATTTTGGGTTTTATGTTTTACTCTTAGATATCAGGACTTTGGGAGTTTAAGGATCAAAGAGACGTGAAGCATCTATAATCTTGTTGTAGAATGGCAGACGGACTAATAGATAGGTATGAGGCACATTTCAAGTATATTAAATCTGTTTAGAAATAAAACTGTGGCTGATATTTGCTTTCTTTCCAATCTAGTTTTGAAAGGCGTGAATTATAAATTAAACTGACAGCCCATTGAGCGTACATGCTAAATGGCAGGACGCAATTTCAGCACTTATAGTCTGAAAATTGATCAGTATTCGTTAGAAATGTTCTGTGAAGTTAACGTTTGAACTGTACCTCCGCTAAGATAGGCGTGCAGTTCTTCAGCTGCATAGTAGCAGCACTCTCCTGGTTTCAGGATCATGTGATTCAGAATCAATGGAGAAAATACACCAACATCACCAGGGAAATCCACAGACATCTTCTGAATCACTTTGACAGTGGCTTCAGTTAGACAACCGCGTACTGGAAATAGAGATGTTTGCAAAAAAAAGAAAAACTAAAACTCGTAAAGCGAAGATGAAGAAGCAGGGGAAGCTAGCGTCAATACCCTCGACTGGTAAGATGTTCCCACCACATGCTCACTAACGTGTAGAACCTGGCAGGGAGTCGACTATCCTCAGATTTTTCGATTTTGGCAGAAGAAAACAACGGCACTTTTTACGTTTCGTTCCGAAATTCAGACCAGGTATTGAAAGATTTTTTGCGGAGCGATTTCGGTCCCTTAAAGGCTGGGCCAGCAATCATTTGATGTTCCTACGCCCTCCTTGGATATCGTAGCCTTGCCGACAAGGATGGAGGATGTACTAATTTCGCAGCTCAAAAATACGAGAGGATGGCGCCACTCCGCTTGTGAAGAGGTTGCCGCCCGCCCACCTGGCTGCCACAACGTCCGTTTCCAATAACTGGCTGATGATGCAGTTGCTCTGCTACTGACTCCCTCCACTCCGAACGGTGAGAATGAGGTAATGAGGGGCACAACCGATACCAACAAGAGAGAACTCGTGCGACCACACTTTCTATTCGCCTTTACAACTTCAGTTCAGCATAGGGTTCTCATAGGGTTCTACATAGGACATTTCCCATGATTTTTTCTGCTTTTTTTCTTCACTACTGGATCACCTGCTATCCTTTTACTACTACACATTATTTTTGGAAGCGGCTCAGCTTCTGAAGGCTAAGCCAAAGCAGTTATGGCAGCCAGGTGGGCGGGGCGGCATCCTCTTCACAAGCGGTGGCGCCATCCTCTCGTATTTTTGAGCTGCGAAATTAGTACATCCTCCATCCTTATAGGTAAAGCTACGCTTCTAAAGAGGGGCGTAGGAAGATCGGATGCGCGCGGGCTCTGCCTTTAATATGAGCATAGCCCTCGCTTGCACAAAGGCTCGCTGGCGGCGGGAGAACGAGAGGATCAGACTTCTCGAAGGAGAAAACTTTGACCACAATACCACTTCAACATACAGTGAAGGCCCGCAATTGCAGATATGATTTTATTGACCAATATTGATGTATTATTTAGGGAAGATTACTAAATACTAGAACGGCTTCCGCCTAGGCTCCACTGTGTTGCACATCGGCTGGCCCGTGAAAGACATAGTATGGCCCCAGGGAGGTCAGTGAGCCACAGCAATTCTGAGTGGAAGTAGAATGCTTGCCGCCTTTCTACTGTAAACTACCACGCAGTATACAGTATTTCACAACAGTATCAACAATTCAAAGTGAATAGCATTCCGCTTGTTCTTCCTGCAATCAGTGCCATAGGTGATTGAAAGAGCTCACCTCCATTGTCGAGGCATTCAATCAGTTCATCGACATACTCGCTGACGAGATCCGGATGGCGTCGAGTTCTTTCCATCATTTCCCTGGACCGGTTTCCTTTTTCAGTTGTCAAGATGTTGAACGAAAAAGAGGCAACAAAATTTTTTTTACCCGAAGCAAGCGGCTAGCGCCTGTCGACATTTGAGAGAGTGCGGATTCTTCTCTTTTCCTACGATAATCCGAAGATTCTCGCAATTATGGCTGTCCATTACGTGCCGTAGTGGTGGAAAAGCTTAACGAAACAATTGCTTCCAAGAAATTGCTGACTTCATTCTACTAGGTTTTGCACTTTTGTATGCAACACCTTTATACGCTTTGGAGAGAATATTGATTTCGCGCGCGTGCGGTCAATGCAGTAACCGCACGCGTGCAAAAAATCTCTCCAAAGCGTATAAACGGGAACATTCGATTGCTGTAGGTTCCGGGTTCTCTCAGTAATCATGGGAGAGAATTATATCAAGAGAAGAACTCGAGAAATTACTCATATCAGTACCTTCGATATTTTCTAGGATTTCATCTGCTGGCCGGAATCCGCATAACAGCTCGAACTGTGTTAGGGCGTACGCGAGTTCGGGTTTGTGATGCCGCTCCGGGTAGTGGATAGGGTCCCGTTCGTGTAGCCTGATAGCTTGTTCCTGAAGGACAGGACTATTAGAACTTGCAAATGATTGAATCTTTGCTCAGTGAGTTTATGCTGATTGATGCCATGTGATTTTTCTAGGGAAAGACTTAAATCATTCCACTCGCTACGCCCCGAATTCGAAATTCCCCATTTTTTAGCAACACCATGTACTGCAGCGTCATCAGTTGCGTCGAAAGAGATCTCACGATTTATGAGAGATGTGCACG